ACACCCCTAAAAGGTACCAAGGATCACAACCAGGCAGTATAGACAAGTAGGAGCAAAGTGAGGTGCAACTGAGGAAAATGTGACCCTGAGCACAGAGCTCCTTGTTTTGTGATACTTCCTGTCTTGGAGCAAAACGCCACTACACAGACACTGCCACATGCTACAAGCCACACTGTGAGCTCCTCAGACATTTTTATTTAATATCAGATACCAGCATGTCCCCATCCCAGATGAGGAAACATGGTTTTAGGGAAATTCAAGTACTTTGCCCAAGATTCCACAGCCAGAAAAATAAACAGCCATGAACAGGTAATCTACACAGCAAAGAGTCCTGCTGGTTCCCTGCTTTGCAACTGACCACTACCTGTTTCATTGAAAAGGTGTGCTGTTAGCTCATATTCCCAAAGGTTTCCATATGGACTCAAGTTCCCAGCAAGTCACAATACATGTCTTTCTTTTTACAAAATGTTTAAGCTGTTTTCCTGGGTTATAACTCACATGCCATATAATTCATCCACTTAAAGGGTGCTATTCACTGGCTTGAGTATATGCACAAATACATACAATCATCAACAAAGCCAAAGTTAGAATGTTTTCATCACCTCAAAAAAAAAGAAAAAACAAACAAACCCCAGGCACTTGAGCTATCACCTTCGATCTAAGCCACCACTAACCTTTCTGTCTCTATAAATTTCCTTATTCTGGACATAGGAATGAAAATACAGACTATGTGGACTTTTGTGTCTAGCTTCTTTCATTTATATTGTTTTCAAGATTCATCCAACTTGTAACAAATATCAGTACTTCATTCCTTTTTGTGGCTGAGTAATATTCCACTATCTGGATACTACATTTTGTTTATCCATTCATCCACTGAATTACAGTTGAGTTGTTTCCACACTTTGGCTATTATGAAACTGCTACTATAAACACTGGGTAAAATTTTTGGTGTGGACATTTGTTTTCATTTCTCTTGACTATACACCTAGGAATAGCATTGCTGGGTCATATGGTAACTCATATTTAATCATTTGAGGAATCACCAGACTGTTTTCCAAAGTGACCACACCATTTTACATTCCCACCAGCAGTGTATGAGGGTTCTGAGTCCTTACCAACACCTGCTACACAATCATGTTTTGATGCAGTACTAGGTACTAGGTTATCCTAGTAACCTTAATGGTAGTAAAGGATAAAATAGGAATCAGCTCAAAAGGAACCTAATTAAATCTCTAAACAGACTCGTTCAGAAGGGTAACCCCCCCCCTTTTTGTTTTTTTTTTTTTTTTGCTACAGAAGTCACTGATGAGTAAATCCAGGCCAGAAAGCAGTAATATTGTCCTTTTATTCTATTACAACAGAACCTGTAGAAGTAAAACATAGCGTTTCTCTGGAGGAATACCATGATCATTATCAACCCAGGTCTTAAATTATTTCTATAATTTCATATGTAAGTTCTAGCACTGAATCAAAAATAACCACATATCCATTTTCCTTCCTGCCTTTCTGAATGATTTCATTCAATCCAAGGGACAGGACAAGACAGAGAGAAAGAAATCCATGCCCAAGGAGTGGGTGGTGGAGCTCAATGCTGAGTCAGGACCCAGCAGGAGGAGGCGGCATCTGTAAGGTAAGGAGACAGGGCAGGAGGGTCAGAGGCCAAGTGAGGGGAGGAAGCCATCCTCACAGAGCAGCAGCAGCAACAAAAGATTGGTACGTATGGGGGCTGGGAGGGGCTGAGCAAATAATTAACCAAATTGAAGTTAATGGGAGTCAGATTTCTCCCTGTTAGGGAAGAGAGAGAAGCTAGAATCAAATTTATGGTGTTAAATAGGAATTGTAAGTATTGGTGTGAACTCATGATTACATATATATGTTATATATGTGTATATAAACAGAAATTAATCTGGATTTAGATGTGCATATGTATGTAGTACGTCAGTTGATACATGCTATATTTCCTAATTGTGGCCACTGGGAGGGCCTGGGAACAGCAACCATAGAAACTAAGATCTAGGCTCCAAACACCATCCTTCCCTAAAAGGAATCAGAGCTGGTTGATTCCAGGGCTGGGGTAAGGAGAGCAGAGGCAGAATTTGACATCTTGTTCAGCCAGAAGGTAAGGAAATACTCAAGGATGCATGGAGACATTCCAAAAAGAAACAGAAGCCAGCTTAAAGCAGCTCTCACTGGCCAAATCAAGGATAATTTGAGCATTTAAAAAATGATAGTAATGAAGTTAACCCAATTGAACAGAAACCTATGAGTCCATATGGATAAATGGATGGATAGATGGATAAATACATACATACATGCCTGCATACAGAAATACATGTATACAGAGATAGACAGATGAGAGAGAAAGCTCTTCTTTATAGCAGAAAAACAACCAATAAATGTATTCAAAATGATATAATTGGGGAAGTGTCACCTGACAGCCACTCGTAGTTACAATTCAGGCACGTAACATCAATGACTGCTAAAACTAGTGCGTGAAAGTTTGATGAGAAACAATAGACCTACATGTGCTTACAAAATAGTTATTAATTACAAAGAGAAGAAAGGAGAGAACTCAGAGTGGGGAAACCTGATTAAGACACCATCTTAACCAAGTGACCAAAGTTAACATCATTAGTAATAGGATAAATCAAAATCATGTACCATCAAAGAAGATGCAGTGAACAAACTCAGCATCACTTCTGCAGTAATTCTAACAAAGACGTATTGCGTGAATCCAAATGTGAGGAAGTCAGATAAATCCCAACTGAAGAACATTCAACAAAATGACTGTCTGGTAATCTTCACAAGCGGCAAGGTCTCAAAAGTTAAGGAAAACCTGATGGCCTGCTCCAGTTTGAAAGCAACTCTAGAGGCGGGGCAACCAAATGCAACCTGCGGTCCTGAGTTGTCCTAGTAAAACGTGAATGCAGTCTGTAGATTACATGGTGATGAAGGACTGATGTTCACTCCTCAAGTGTGATGGCTGTACTGTGTTTCAACAGGAGAATGTCCTCGGTGTGTAGGAAAATGCACCCTGAAATATCTGCAAGTGGTGGAGCATCGTGTCGGCAACATACTCTCAAATGTCAAATGTGTGAGGGAAAAGCTCTTTGTTCTATTTTTGCAACGTTTCTGTAGGTTTGAGAAAAACAGCCAGACATAACGAAGACAACAACATGATCAAAAAGCAAGGGACAGAGATGGTAGAAAGAGAACCACAGGTAATCCAGAGAACTCCAGTATCCGGTGCAGACTGCAACAAGTTTGCTTCATGTGGACAGAGAAATGGGACAAGGTGAAGGACTTGGGCAGAGAAATGAAAACTATAAGAAGTTACCAAATTGAGAAAGTAACTAATCAAACTGACATTAGGAACAGGTTGAAAGAATTAGTAAACTGGAAAATCAGAAGAAAGTCAGAGTGCCATAAAGAGGAAACAACAGGATGGGAAGCGCCGAGGAAAGAATGAGACTTAGGGATTCAGTTAAAAGGTCTAACATGGGCCTAACTATCATCCCAGAAAGAAAGAAAAGAGAAAATGAGATAGAAGCGCTATCGGAAGAGATCACTGATCATACTTGGAAAACTGACTAAATTAAGATTTAAGGAGCTCAATGCACCCTAAGTAGGATAAATCAAAAGAAAAGCACACCTAGGCCTATCACAGGTACGCACTGGAAACCAGTATCAGAGACAGTCTTTTTGTTTGTCTTATTTTTTATTTTTTTTAATTTTATGTTTTATTGAAGCATAGTTGATTGACAACTTTAGTTTCAGGTATAGAGCAAAGTGATTCAGTTATACATACACATACATATTTTTTTTTCTTTTCAGATTCTTTTCCATTATATGTTATTACAAGAAATGGAAGATAGTTCCCCGTGCTATAGAGGAGGTCCTTGCTGTTTATTTTATATACAGAGAAAAATCTTAACAGCAGCTGGAGGCTGGGGTAAGGAGAGACCAGACCACCTTCAAAGGGGCAACAGGGACCAGCATCTGACCTCAGTACAAGTGACGGAAACCAGGAGCTGATGGAACGATACCTCCAAAGTGCTGAAAGAAAAGAATTTCCTAATGGAGTTCTAGATCCCCTGAAAATATCCTTCAAGAATGAAAGTGAAAGAAAGACATCTCCAGACTAAAGAAATCTAGGGAAATTTATCACCAACAGACCTAGTCCGAAAAAAAGAAAAATCCCAAAGGAAGTTTCTTGAGGAAAAAGAAAAATAACCCTCAGGGCTGTAGGAAGGAACAAAGATCAGTGGAAAGGCTAACTGTAGCTAAATCTAAATTAAATATAAAGTAATATTAACATGTAATTATTCATGGTTAAGGTTAAGTTATTGTGTATTAATATGTCAAGAATGCACTATAGGGTTTAATGTATACACTGAAATAAAATACAGAGCAAAAGTAGCTTAGACACTGAGAGAGGGTTAATGGAACTAGAATGTTCTAAGATTCTTGTACCATCCAGGAAAATATAGGAGCATTAATTTTACATTAGATCTTGATAAGTCAAGAATGTATGCTGTGATCTTTAGTGTAATCACTGAGAGTAAAAGAGCAGACAATTAGACTAGTAGACGGAAAATGAATATAAAAATAATCAATCCCAAAGATGTCAGGGAAAAAAAGAAAAAGGAACTGCAAAGAAAGCTGGTGTATCTCTGTTACTATCAGACAAAACAGACTTTAAGAATAAAAAGCAGTTCTAGCAACCAAGAACACCTTTCTTAATAACAAAATAGGCAATTCAATAATAACATAAAGCAAAAAGCTGGGGAACTACACGGAAATATAAATAAACCCATAATGAATAAAAAGTAGAAAAACTAAACAAAACCCAGAAAATATAGAAAACTTGAACATAATGTTGACCAACGGACATCAACAGATCATTATGCCCAACAACTGCTGAATATACATTCATTTTTTTAAATGCAAAACACTACAAAATGTTCCCAATGCCAGACTTTATTTCAAGTCTCAAAAAAATGTCAAAGGAATAAGAAGACACTTCCTTTATCTTATAAAAAAAATATTAAAAAGCCCATAGGGAGAGATGAATAGGCAGAGCACAGAGGATTTTTTTTTATAGGGCAATGAAAATACTCTGTAAGACACTATAATAGTGAATATATGTCATTATAAAGTTGTTCAAATTCATAGAATGTCCAACACCTAGAGTGAATGCTAGTGTGAAGCACGGACTCTGGGTGATAATGACACGTTGACACAGGTTCATCAATGGTAGTGAATGTACCACTTTCTTGCAGGATGTCGATAATGGGGAGACGATACAAGTGTGGGGGCAGAGGGCACATGGGGAATCTCTATAACTTCCTCTCAATTTTGCTGTGAACCTAATACTGCTTTAAAAAATAAAGTCTTCTTTTTTTTAATCTAACCAGTTTCCTCCCAGCCAGGATAGGGACAGAAATAGCCAAATAAATAAAAAGCCACAAATTCAACTCAGAAAAAAGCCCATGGAAAACATTATTCGCAATGGTGAAATATTGAAAGCTTCCCCCTCAGGGCACAAATGAGATAAGAATGACCACTATCATCACTTCTATTCCACATTTTACTGGAAGTTAAAAAAGAGAGGTTTGAAATAGAGAAATAAAATTGTCTCTATTTGCATATGACATGAATGTTGTAGAAAATCCAAAAATAAGTCTATAGAAAAATTATTAGAATAAATTCAGCATTAGATTTAAGATATATAGAAGAATAAGCCATATTTCTACATATGAAACAGAAAACAAAATTTAAAAAATATAATAGCACGGAAACATATCAAATAACTGGGAATAAAATCTAATGCAAAAACACCCAAGACCACTCTACAGAAAACTATAACAGATGGAGAGAAAGTAAAGACACTAAACAAAGAAATGCCTCCAATTGAGCTATGGATTTAATGGTTTGATGCTGTACATGCTTCAGTTCTCCCCCAGATTGATCTACAGATTTAATCTGATTAAAATTTGAACAGGTTTTCTGTGAAAATTGACAAAATAATTCCAAAATTTAATTGGAAAGGCAAAGGGTCTCTTGCAGAAGACCACCAAAAATGAGAGGATTTGCTCTACTGAATTATCCAGATGGATAGTAAGCTTCAGTAATTAGGAGAGTATGATATTGACCCAAGGATATACAAATGGACCCACAGAGGAGAATAGAGGGTCCAAAAGTCTACTCACCATGGCAGAGCAGTGGAGATGCTCAGTGGTGCTCAATCAATTGGAAACCTGTATGGGAAAAAAAAAAGTAAACTTGACCCCAACCTCACACCATATGCAAAAGTCAATTATTAGGTGGACTATAGATTCCAATGTGAAATTAAAACAAAACTTCTTGACAAAAATAGAGAGTATCTTCATGACGTTTGGGTGGGTAATGGCTTCTTAAACAGGCCATAAAGGAAAAGATTGAGAATTGGACATCAAAGTTAAGAACCTCTCCCATTTTATGGCTTGTCTGTCCACTCTCTTAAACAGTGTCTCTTGATGAAGGGGGAAGAACTGTATCACCTATAGCGAAGAGAAGATTCCTACTTTCATTATAGAAAGAGCTCCCGCAAATCAGTAAGACAAAGAACTCAGTTAAAACACAAACCAGAGACTTCAACAAGCACTTCATAAAAGGGGGTATTTAAAATGGCCAGTATGAAAAGATGTTCATCCTCATTATCATTGGGAAATGCAAATTAAAACCAAAATGAAGGGGCTGCGGGGTATAGCTCAGTGGCAGAGCACGTGCTTGGCATGTACGAGGTCCCAAGTTCAATCCCCAGTGCCTCCGTTTAGGGGGACATAAACTAAAATAAAACCCTAAGACATATCCATCATAAGAGCCAAAACTTAAGACTGACAATTCCAAATGTTGACAAAGGTACAGGGCAGCAGGGGCTCTCACACAGTGTTGGTGGGAGTATGAAGTGGCACAAACACTTTGGAAAACTGCCAGGCATTAAAGCAGACTGTCCACCTACCCTCTGACTTCGCAGTCCTGCTCCTAGGTATATGCCTAACAAAATGCAGGCCCACATGCACCAGCACATCACCAGGATGTTCACAGGGAGCATCCATTATTCATAACAGCTCCAAACTGCAAACAGCCCAAGTTTTCATTGACAGCAGGACAAGATGAATGAGTATATTCACACAGGGGAACACACACAGGATTGAAAGTGAATAAACCATCTGCAGCATGGATGGTTCTCAAGGCTGAAAGGGAAAGCCAGGCGTAAAACACACGGATGACTCCACTTAGTTCTGTCTTGTGGGACTTTGTATAATCATTGGTGTAAGGGGTCAGGATAGTGGTCATCTTTGGAGAGGGGGAAATGGGGAAGACCCCAGTGGGACTCTGGGGGGCTTGCAACATTCTCTCAACACAGAAGCTCTGTCTTAGAATCCGTGCTCTTTTGGTTGCTTTGTTGTTGTTGTTAAATTTCAATAAAAGTTGCTTTTGAAAGTCTGGGTGGATATACACCGAACTTAACAATTCTTAACCCTGCAGCAGCAGGACAGCTGGAAGGGACTTTCATTTTAACTTCATATTGTCTAGAACTAAGTGGTACACTTGTAATTTTATTTTTTTAATTTGTTTTTTTAAATTTGGGGGGGAGTAATTAGGTTTATTGCTTTCTTTCTTTTTTTCTCTTTTTTTTTGTAGAAGCAGTACTGAGGATTGAACCCCGGACCTTGTGCATGCTAAGCATGAACTCTTCCACTCTGAGCTATACCCTCCCCACTTGTAATTTTAAAAATAAACAGAGTTGGGGCACTGTATTAGCTTTCACTAAGAAGAATTTCTATTCCCCAACCACTGTTACTGGGAGCATCTTCCCATTTGAGGAGTGAGCAATTAAATGAAAGCGAACACTGATTTATCTCAGGGATGTCCTTGTTTCCCCTTGTTCCACTTAAGCTTTCCCCTGAGTACAATAAAAATTCCAGTATCAGTTCCTAGGATGCCTTTTGCCTGGTGTTTAGAACAGTACTGGGCATGGACCAGCCCTCCAACATCAGGGGTCGAATGGCCAGTCTGAGGTCTGGTGGATTTTTTTAATAGTCTAAATGGGGGCACTTGCAGGTGAAAGGCGGTCCTAGTCACAACTGAATCGGCACATCAGGCATAAACCAGGACTCTCCTAGGCAAACTGGGACGTAAGGTTACAAGCTGGCTTAGGACTGAGAATTCACTGGCTCGAGAAACCTCAAAACACCAAGCAAGGCTCCCCTGGGATGGAAGCTGTGCTGTCAACCTTGTTATTAAAACAAGGTAATTGTGTTCTCTTACTTTCTGCGTAATGGTGAATGCTATTAGCTCTGAGGTAGAAACCTGTGCTAAATGCATCTTTCAGGAGACACACAGCCTTCTCTGCTTCCCCTGCTTATTTGCTGGGTGCCAAGTACCATTTCTGGGAGGAAGACTGCCCGGGGCACGCCTTGCCAACCTCACACAGGCATGCCCAGACCCAACCTCTGTTCCAGTTGCCTTTCACGCTCTTCCAGGTCAGTATGTGGGGTGACCTTCTGGACTGTGAAAGGCCAGGAGCCCCCGGGGCTTGCCGGAGGCGCTTAAGAAACACTTGAGAAGGGAGTCGGGTGGCACGGTGGTCTTTCTGGTCCCTGCTGTTCACTGTGTCCCCTCTGAACATCCGGCCTCTGCACCTGCTGCTCTCTGCCTGAAGGGCCCTGCCCCTTCTTCCCTGAGTTAACGGCTTCTGGCCCCGGCTCTCAGTTCCGACGTCACTGCCTGGTGGAAGGCATCTCTGGTCACCCCGAGTAGGCCTGGTGTCTCTGTTACACAGAACCTGGTCCTCTTGTGAGGACTCGATCTGAGACGGGATGACCGCTGCTTTCTCCGGGGCCAGAACTGGGGTGAAGTGAGGCACTTACCTCAGGTGCAAAAGTTAAGGAGGCGCCAAAAAACTCAATAATCAAGACAAAACTGAAATTCCTGTGTGGTAGTGTAGTCGACTTGCCGTGTTGTGCTAGTCTCTGGTGCACGGCGTAGTGATTCAGTTATACACACGTTCTTTTCTATATACTTTATCATTATAGGTTATTACAAGATATTGATTACAGTTCCCTGTGCTAGACAGTAGGACCTTGTTGCTTACCTATTTTTTATATAGTAGTTAGTGAAATATTTTTTTAAAAAATCAAAACGAATGCCAAAAAAGCCACCATGAATGCAACATCGAAATCTTAAAGGCAGGATCGCGAGGCAAAGCTTGCTAAAGTACTGATTGCTGGAGCCCGTCCCTGAGTTTCAGGTGGGAGACTCTGCATCGTTAACAGGCTTCCAGGTGACGCTGGCGCTGCTGACCTGGGGAACACACCTTGAGAACCACTGGTTCAGCGTGTATTCACCCTACTTCCCACCTCCACTCCACAGCAAGTAGAGAAAAGCAATTACTTCTACGTCATGAGCAGACATGGGCAGAAAAGCAGCCACTGCCCTACAAGACAGATCATTGTTTGACCATCTAACCCTCCTGTGGTTGGTGGGATGACGCCCCCCAAGATGACGTTTCCACGTCCTAACATCCCCAGAACCGCGGGCAGTTTCCTTTATATGACATCAAAGATTTGGCAGGTGTGATTAAGGATCTTGAGATGGGGAGACCACCATGCATCACCCACGCGGGTCCCAATACAAGCACAAGAGCCTTGGGAAGAGAAGGCAGCGCAATGACAGAAGCAGAGACTGGAGTGATGCGGTTTGAAGATGGAGCAAGGGACCACACGCCAGGGAATCCAGTGGCCCCAAGCACCTGAAAAAGGCAAGGAAATGGATTCTCCCCTCAGAGCCTCCAGAAGCAACGCAGCCCAGCTGACACTATGACTTCAGCCCAGTGAAATTAGTCGGACTCCTGCCCTCCGTACTAGGAAGGGAATAAGGATGTGTTGTTTGAAGTCACTTTGTTTGCAGTAATGTGTTACAGTGGCGCCAGAAAGCTAACACACTCCCAGCGTGCTATGAACAAAACACCCGGGAACACAGCGGGAAAACCACTCCGAATGGGGCCACGAGGACAAGGAGGGGTTGACAACCAGGGAGAGAGAAGCTGTGGTACTCCTAGCAGATGTCAGTGCTGTTTCGTCTCTTCTGTTTCTTCAAACACCCTGAGCCCATTCCACCTCAGGGCCTCTATGTGTACTGCTCCTCGGAGCTGGAATGTTCGTGCAGGGCTCTATGTCCTGGCCTGCAAACAAACATCTCCAACAGCCAGCAAATGGAACAGTCCAGTTCCTCGTAGGACCTGCCAATGAGAAGGGATGCCCACGAACACCAGAGGTTAGATTTCCAGCGAGACCTCTACCAGCCACTCGGGTAGACTGCAGGGAACAATCAAGAGCCTTGAACAACAAGGGATTTATTCTCACACAACTAGTCCCAACATGGATGCTATGGGTTGAATTGTACCCTCCCACCCCAGAAGTTCATGGTTGAAATCCTAACCCCCAGTACATCAGAATGTGACCTTATCTGGAGATAGGGTCTTCAAAGAGGTAATAAAGTCTAAGATGAGCTCATTAGGTGAGCCCTAATTCAATATGACTCGTGTCCTTATGAAAAAGGGAACTCTGGACACAGACGAGCACACAGAACGCCATGTCAAGATGAAGGCAGAGATTGGGGTGATGCTTCTAAAGACTGCCAGCGAACCAGCAGCAGCTGGTAGGAGGCATTGAAGAGGTCCTCCTTCACAGTCCTCAGAAAGAACCAACCCTGCTGACATTGATCTTGGGTTTCTAGCTTCCAGAACTGGGAAGCAATAAATTTCTATGGTTTAAACCATCTATTTTGTGGTACTTTGCGATGGCAGCCCTAGCAGATTAATACAATAGGGCAACTCCAGGGATGGTTAACTCCACAGCTCAACAACATCACCTGGGACCCAGGTCTCTTCCCCCATTCTGTTCCCCCAGTGAGTGAGCTTTGCCTCACAACCACAAAGTGGCTGCCTCAGACAGGCATGAGAAGGCCCAGGAGAAGAGGGGCGATTTCTCCTTCATGTGTATTATTAAGAGCGAAGAAACTCTTTCAAGAAGCTCCCTAGGGAACTTTCCCTCACATTTCACTGGCCGGATAGCATCTCTTGGCTAAGATTGCCAGTAACTCAAGACTTCTCCGTGGAGCTGGATGGAAGGTCATCTTTCCCTAAAGAAAATGGGTGAATGTTGGACATTGGGTCAACTTATCCACTGAGCAGAGCCTGGAACCAGCAAAACTTTCAGGGGCCCACAAAATCACTTTACTTCTTACAATAAGTGAGATAATGTCCTTCAACTGTCATTTATATGAATGTGATTTTTAAATATTTGTTACAGAGGGAAGGTCTCCCAAAGGCAAACGTGCCAGGACCCACAAAAGTCACAATGCAGCCCTGAGTGGACACCTCTGCCAGCAAAAGAGGCAGGTCAAGTGTGTTTGGGTGGGTAACTGGTTGAGTTTACTACAGTTCAACACACGGAAGAGAAGACACCTGGGCATCAGTGGCCGCAGGTCATTCTGGCCTGAAGGTTTCAAGCAGGAATGGGCTGAGCCGTGATATCAGCTCTCTCATCACCCAGTAACTGATACCCCCTGTGGGGGAGACAACACCCTCCCCCACCTTGCTGGTTTGCAATTTCCTCATTGGAATGGACTGACTTGTGCCCCCTCCCCAGTTCACATGCTGAAGCCCCAAACCCATACGGGACTATATTCAAAGACAAGACCTTTAAGGAGGTCATTAAGGTTAAATGAGGTCGTAAGTGTGGGGCCCTGACTCAACAGGACTGGTGTCCTTATGAGGAGAGGAAGAAACACCAGGAATGTGTGTATACAGGACAGGCCACATGAGGACACAGCAAGAAAGTGGCCGTCTGGAAGCCAGGAGGAAAGGTCTCGGTGGGAACCAAGCCTGCTATCACCTGGATCTTGGACTTACGGCCTCCAAAACTGAGAAAATGAATTTTTACTGTTCAAGCCACCCGGTCTGTGGTGGTCTGGTGTGGCAGCCGGAGTACTGTCCCATTCATCTAGTTCAAGCCTTTCATTTTGCAGGGGGCACCCACGTCAGAGAGCCAGTAACTTGCCTAGGCTCTAGCAGACGCCTTGTCTTCACTCTACAAGCCTATCTGAGCCTCCCGCACGCAGCTTGAAGGACATGGTCACTGAAGGTCACGGGTGCCAGTCACTTAAGCTTGTCAGTTGCAGGCATCACCTGGCCTCTGTCCCTGCTGGAGTCAGTGCGACAGCTGGTCTTGTTTTCATCTGTGTTGGCTCCGGACGAATTTGGACTTAAATGGAGTGGCCACTGCTCCCTAAATGGAAAGACTCCGCCCCACAGCTCCCACGGTCATTAGCATGGAAGAAACAGCCTCAAAATCATGGAGGGGGGAGGGGGGACAAGAGGAAACAAACTCATCAGCTTAATCAGAGAAATACAGTTTGCAGGCGAAGTGCTAATTCTCAGCGCACAGCCAACAGAGACACGTGCTCCATGGTTCATTAGCCCAACGAACACAATACAGAAGCAACTGAGCGTTAAGAGGCAAAGAACAATAATTCCTTCCAAGGAGCCCCTAGGTGACGGTGGCTTTTTCACATGAATAAAGAGGAGCTAATTAATCAAAGACGGTGAATAAAGGCTGCCTGCTCTCTGCCGAGACACGGCAAGGTGGAAACGGGATAAGGCCTCCGCCCCTTTCCGAGGCTGTGCCCCGCTCCCTTCAGGGTGAGATGTGACGGGGCCGGGGATGAGGGGGGCGTTTAACGAGGCAGCTGCTCGGCCAGCTTAGCCTCATTCCTTTTCCTAAATAATCGATATGTGTGGATCGCAGCTGCTATAAATGTCAGGCCGCAATTTGTGGCGAATGCTCAGCGCAAATCAGTTCAGGCAGCTCGGGAGCAGAGGCCTCCGGTACTGTGGCCAGAGCAGGATAATAAAAAATGCCCAAGGCTGCGGTGGCATTTTTCTTCCTATCAGCTCTCAGTGCAGGAGGCTCGAGGCTTTTTTTTTTAATCCTGCGGACTCCCTGGGAAGGAGGGAATTGCAGCCTGATCTGCAATATTCAGTCGACCTTTAGAAGCTGAAGGACTCCAGGGAGAGGAGGACAGCTTGGACCCTGATCTTTAAAAGCACAAGTCCTGGGGCAAAGTGAGCCGTCACTCCTGGAGACCAACCGGGAAGAGCCATTATTTGTAGGTGAGGTACTGCCCCTGCCTCTGGGCCTTTGCACCTACAGTTCCCTTTGACTGGGATGTTTTGCCTCCTTCTTGCCCTGTGGTCAACTTTACTTGTCAGTCTGGTTTCAGCTTGTTTCTTCCTCCAGGAAGTCTTCCCTGACCTCCAGGGCCGGGCTGAGCATCTTCTGCTCTGTTCCAATGGCACCCAGCGACCCTGGTTTCCACTTGCCCAACAGCACCTGCCCCTTCTTCCAGTAACAGAAACCCAGTCTCCTCCACCACAGCACACCCACTCAGTGAGCTGTCAATCCACAGTCCTGTCCACTTCTAGCCAAAGGAGTGGACAGAGGACCAAAGATGAGTCAAATTCTCAGGCCAAGCCTACCTGACATCGATCAAGGTAAGGACAATGGTGAGAACCAATTTGTCCCCAAGGCATCAACTCTGGAAAAGACTGCCTGCTATTTCTTGCTCCTTCCACCCCTGGACTTGCTGCCCTTTTCTGCCCTTCCGAGAGCCTGGCTGTTCAGCTGCTTTTTCAATCTTCTGAATCATCCCAGGGCATTGTCTTTGGCTGAGGTTAGCCTGCGTTGGCTTCCATTGCTTACAACCAAAATCCCTGAGGTCCTCTAATATCCCACCCATCACTCTGGAGCGACTGAGAACAGAGGTTGTCAGTCATCTTCATACCCTCAGCGACTAACACGGGGCCTGGTACCCGGCAACGGCTCCCGGGGTTGACTGAGTGGAAACTCCCTGCGCTAATCACAGAGTGATGCTGCTTTGAGCGGCTGTGTCAAGAGCTGTCAATCTGACACGCAGCACGCGCTGACGAAGCTGCTCAGGGAGGCAAGCACCGGGAGAAGACGTGGTGGAGCAGCAGTCCGTCAGGCTTCGAGGCGCGTGGGTCTGAATTCGGGCGCCAGCTCCGGAACTGGCTCGGCATCATGCTAGGGCACAGGGTGGGCCTGTTGGTCTTTGTGCCCACAGCACTGTGCCTGGCGCCTAGGCAGGTGATGGAGAAGAAGAAGTGACACCTGAGTGCGTATCGCCTGAAGTCAGCCTCATCTTCGGCACCGTTAGAGGAAGGTGTCATTTCCTTCTCCACACCCTTGAGGCCTCAACACCAGGTTAAACGTGTACCATGGTCAGTGTGTACCAATTCCCTCTCTAGGCAGAGCGTGTGTCCAGCCTTCCACCTTGTCCCAGAGGCGTGACTCTGGTGTGCAAGGAGACCCTTAGTTTCACCCTGCTGTCCCCACCTGCTTCCTCCATGTTTTTCAGTCTAGTGTCTCCAGAGGAGGAGACACTTTTGCCCTCTCTCCTCCAAGGCTCTCCAGATTATCAAATTAGACCAACGAAAGACAGATTAACAAGAGAGAGACAAATGGAAATTTATTAACACACACAGCACACGTAAACAGGGGAGCGATGCAGTAACGAGGAACTCCAAAGGGTGGTTGGAACTTGGGGCTCACATAGCAGCTTGACAAAGGACGCTACCTCTGTCAAGTGACATGACAAAGGAAACGGGTTTCGGGGCGGCCAACTGTGGGAAGGTAGATACATAGGGGAAATGATGGAATGTGAGGGCTGTTTCAGTAAAGCTGATTATGTAGGCTTGTTCCTCTGTGCCATCTCTGGACCGAAGAGTCAAGAGTTGTCCTGAGTGATGAAGGATTACGGAAAGGGGAGGGCAGAGGGTTTTTCCCGCGTCTGCGTCTTCTCAGTCGCCTTCAGCTCTAAATAGTCCTTACGTCAAAGTGGCACACCTGGGGGTTGTACACTCTGCACCCTTCATGTCATGCACAGAAGCTAAGACCTGGAGTTCCAGGCATCCAGTTACAGCCGTTCAGAACATGAACCGTCCTGAATGGGTCACCAGGGCCCACGAGAAATAGGAACAGTGTGACTGCAAAGAACGTTCCGGAACAATGCAGGTATGCGTGTATTTAACTCAATTGCTCTGGCTTTGCGTCTAGCTGCCCTTTTGATCTGCTTTCTGAAAACTGTCCCATCTCCTCCCACCCCCAAGAAGCCCTTAGGAAGTCATCTTTACCTGGGAGAGCACACGTTATTCTTCATCTA